GGATTGATGTGATAACAATGAACTACAATGGCATGCACCAGAAGCAAACCAGATAGTGATTTTCATTGTGCAGAATTTGGGTCAAGTGTTTTGCATCACTGGAGGATCCATGAGAAGTATTTGAATGATATTTAACTGAATTGAAGGTTGAAGATTTTATTACACAGTGACATGTGTGAAAATGAAATTATGTGTGAGATATCCAAGTGATACTCACATGAGATTGAGCCACGCTTATAAGCATAAGCTAAAATATTCAAACATTGCTAAATTATGATGAAATCATTAGAATGTCTTAGTAGAAATCCTAAGGAGAAGTATTCACAACTCTGTATTTATAGTTCATATGGAAACACTAATTCTACTTATGAAAGTCCACTACAGGCATGACATTATTGTGATTAAGACTTTTCTATTATAGAAATGTAGAGTGGTGTATTAATAATGAGACAGTCATGTTTAGCATAAAATGCAAGCAATGTGGCTAAATTAGTTGTGCATTCCAGTCTACATCTGGATTTTATGTGAACCTATTACCGTAAAAAGCTAAGGGGAGGAATAAACCTTTCATGTTTCTCAGGCTACTCAAATGTTAGTCAGTTTTTGTTTTCTCTTGCAGTATTTGTCCCTGGAGAACACCAGAATCTCCTACAGCCTCTTTTAGAAAGGCAGTATGTTATTTTAAAGTAGTAGTTAACATCATCTTACTTGGGTGATGATGGCTGTTTCACATGGCTAACAGCCATACTTGCCTCACAAATAACCCAAAAGTATGTTCATTTTTGTCAACCTTTTGGGAAGAATGTATATAGTGGATTCTAGAAAAATAGCATTGTACATTTCAAAAACATATCTATTTATTTTCCTCTCTACAGTTCTAAGGAATGGAAGTAGAAAAGTTAATATCAGCATAGTTTGGGAAGAATGACTGTGAGGATTTGATACATTATCCAATTTTATGGACTATTGAATTTATTTAAAAAGGGAGACCATAAAAAAGGAGAAAAAACAGGATTATGAAAAAGTATAAAGAGAAAACTCTGAGAAGCCATACTGTTGAAAATGATGATAGTATACCCACTAATTGACTTAATGCTTTGTAAATGATGAGGTAATCACATAAGTTGACTTGGACATTCAATCATCTTTCCTCCATCCTCATATTGATCAATCAGAATCTTTTCCTTTTGGGCCAAGTTTTAGGTTAATGAGTGGTACCTGAAATGCTAGTTAGGTATAAACACTACTACATTAATAACATATGATAGACATCAAGAGCTTGAAATTGTGCAGGCATCTATTCTAATTTGATTAGACTGATTGACTAAGCAGCTTGAATTATTGCCCTTTTTAACGTTTGTTTATATGCTCATAGTAAGTCAAAAGTTGTCTAGAACTGGACTTGGTTTAATGAAGATATTGAAAATACCTTTAACTGATCTTTTTGATTATTTCTATACAAATACATACTTGTGATTTTCTCTTCTTAAGTAGGTTAAGCATTTCCATTACAATTCTGATTACAGTCTTGATTAACGAGATACTATGCTTTTTCTCATAGTGATTGTACAGACAAACTCTGGATGTGATTGATTTACTACAAATTCTTCATTCCAATGCCTCTGTTGTGAATTATTCTACTAGTAGCCTGAGAATATAGGTACAGGTATTAGTAAACAGTCATGTGTACATTTTCTGCAAATAATATACTATTACTCCATCCATACTTGTTTTTGCCTTGGATAAAACCTCCTTCTTTGTCCATCCAAGCCCTCTGGTATAAATGGGTGCTCACATTCTAGGTATGTCTAATCTTCTTTTCCCAATACCTAGGTTAACACTTAAGATCAAACTATCCATCTACTAGCATTAATGGAAAAACATCATCTAGTAGAACCCTAACTCTTCTATTATTTTTTCTGTCTCTTAGCACAATATAGGCTATAACTATGGCTTTGAATATGCAAAGCCTTCATATTTAAGACTTCAGAAGCCTAATAAGAATGGTAGCAGTTAATATAATATAGTGCTCACATATAATATAGCATGATAACATAATCATTGCAACCCTCTCCACCCTATACTATACCCCCCTTCCCCCCCACTGACATTAACATTCATTTACCCATCAAGATTGAGACTGTGTTGCAAATACCCACTTAATCTAATCATCTTTTCCTATGGCAAAATGGGCCACACATTTTAACTGCTTAGTTTAAGTTATGGTTTTGTAGTGGAACATCAGTGTCTTCTTAGCTGGCACTGCTGATTAGCCCTGACAGAGTACATCTTGATTTATATGAAATGAATTCACCATTCAAATAAAATTAATTGACTTTATAAACCTCACATTTGTGACAACTCAGATTCCAGTCCTTCAAAGTCTTTTCTTCAATGACAAAAGGTCTCCTTCTTCTCATCACATAATCTTTAAGATATCATCTACTTTTAAGCTGATAACAATTCTACAAAGAAATACTTTGAAGACTCTGGGGGACAAGGCAGGTGTCAGCACACTAAGTATTCCTTAGAGCTTGTGCTCTGCTCAGGTTTGACAAGGATTCCCAAGCACATTACTTTTATTCATTTTGAAAATACTTGGGCTAGTGACTTGTGTAACTAAGAAGAGTAACCATATTAGCTTTGTGTTAAATTTTGTGTACATCTATGTGTGTGGGTGTGGATGGGTGTGGGTGTAGTTTTTGAAAGTGCAATATTTTTAGTCAGAAAATTGCCCAGGAGAGAGGCAGAAAATAGATGCTTTACCTCTGGACTTCCCTCCATTCGTATTTGTAGAAGGGGATTCCAGGAGTCACTTAAAGTCTGGTTGAGTTTAAAGCTGTCTCTGCAAATTTTGGGGGCTTTCTTTGCTACCACTGAGGAAGCACTTTATTATTTTGTTTTATTTAAATTTTATTATCTTTAAGTAGTTGTACAAAGGAGTTGTCATTCCACAAAACATTTTATATGTCTCGATTTGTATTACCTGCTTTAACATTTTTATCCATCCCTCACTTTTCTAAATTTTGTAAGATATACATTATTTTTATTTATTTATTTTTGTCACTCATGGAGTCTGAACTCTGGGCCTGGGTGTTGTCCCTCAGCTCTTTTGTTCAAGGCTAGCTCTCTACCACTTGAGCCAGAGAGCCACTTCCTGTTTTCTGGTGGTTAATTGGAGATAAGAGTCTCACAGATTGTCCTGCCTGGGCTGGCTTTGAATCAGGATCCTCAGATCTCAGTCTCCTGAGTAGCTAGGTTTACAGGCATGAGCCACCAGCACCCGGCATATATTGAATTTTTTACTCTTTTCCACCATTTCTTATTTTCAACTCTACCCCACTCCTTGTAGGTACCCATTCCATTTTTTTATTTTTTTAAACTTTGATTTTTGCCTTTGTAAGGGATTGCAATGTTTGTGTCCTCTGAGTCTACCATATGTCAGTTAATACATTTGTTTACTTATGTGTTTATAAACTAATTCTAGCTTTCAGAAAACACTTTAAACCTTAATATTTGCTGGTGTCAAACCCAAAAGGAAAGCATGTGTGATTCTGTCTTAGGGTCTGAAGGCAGATTCTCTTGTTCAGAGCCTAAAGGAACTTCAGTTTCCCATTCCTTATGCTTCTTCCTTTGCCTTCTTATATGTATGAGAAATTAGCCATATTTGTTGTCTCCAGATTAGGAAAATGATTACCTAAAGATAGAAATAAGTAGATGACTGCAATTCATCCTACGGCATTCTGCACCATTTGCATCATGTATTATGTGAATATTTTCTCATATGAAGTCTTCAAGGAAAGGAAATTTAAAAGAAGGAAAGAGATGTTTTGGTCCAACTCTATCTCTTGTCCCCATTTCTGGTCATTTGGGTCTCTGACTGAAGAGGTTCATAACAGTACTAGCTCTTTTGGACCTCTTCGCTGACTTGGCTTATTGGAGCAATAGTGACAAATGATGGTAACTGTCTGGTATTCACTAGAGCACTGTAGAAAGCCTTGGGTCTCCCTAGAAATAACAAGCCTTCTGATCTACCAATCTACTTCCTTGCATAGGAACATTGTGAGAAGCAAATGCCAGTAGAAACTTGTGTAGAAGCAGCAATGTGTCAATTAAACAATCGTCCTTAATACCATTACTAATGTATGGGACTGAGGGTTTCCTGGAGAGTGAGGTTGATTTAGGGATTGGGGATCAGCTGCTGAGGCTGGCACTTGGAAAAGACAAGCCAAGCATTCACACCCAGACCACTCAATACCAGCATTGTATCCCATCCATCTTTCATAAGGGGGCTTCAAGAGGGGGAGGGGATGAAAGAGGGAGAGAAAATAAACCTTTTTTTTTTTTTAATTGTATAACAGAAAGTGCAAGAGGGAGAAAAAAAATAAACATGATGTGAGTTCTGGAAAGGAAGATTTCATTGGAATTCAACGTTGGCTTTTAATCACTACTCCACAGTCAAGTTTCTTGTGTTTCACACTCCTTCATCTTTCTGGGTCTGATTCCCGCCCTCCCTCCCCCCCCCTTGCCTTCCTCTCCTTTCTGTTTCACTCCCTCCATTTGTCAGTTTGCATTTCTCTTTCTCATTCCTTTTCCCTTCTTTTTCTCATCGATTCCTGGACTCTTTCTCCTGTCCTTTTATAACCAAAGTCCTTTTTCCCTTCGCCCTGGTCTTGAACAGTACCTCTGAGTTCCATTCCCTCTTCTTAAGGAAATCAGCCAGGCCTCAGATGGAGCTGTTGTCCTGACAACCCAAAGGCGCATCAGGCTTTCATTGAGCTGGCTGCTGTTGAAGGGGGCAGTTGTGCGAAGCAAGGGGCCACGCCAAGGGGAGGGAAGAGGGGGATGACGTGGTGGGGCTGTTGAAACCCAGCAGGGTAAGAGGGAGGGGGGGAGGTGCTGAGTGGAGAGAGAGTCAGAGACTGGAAGGAGAAGCAGAGAAGGGAGGAGGGGGAAAGAGCCGCTGGGTTGCTGCTGCTGCTGCTGCTGCTAGGCTGTTTCTTTACACTCACTGGCAGGCTCGGTGCTGGCTCGCTCGCTCACCAGCCTGGGAAGGAAAGTGGGTTACAGTGAGGCGCTCAGCTCACACACTGGCAGGGGAGCCTCAAGCTAGAGCGTCCAGGGGAATAACCTCTCTGCCTTGGACAGCCTTGTCTTCTTCACCTTTTCTAGAGGGGTTTTCTATTTTGTAACTCTCCCTTTTTATTTTTGTTTGGTTTTGTTTGTTTGTTGTTGTTCCTGCGACTTTTCCTCCTCGACCCCTGTGTGGGTTTTCTGAGGGCTTTTGTTAAGTCTTAGAAGGGAAAGAGACTGAGCGAAGGAAAGAAGAGTTCCACCAACGGGGCAGATCCGAGTTCCCTGGGCTGTGCATGCCAGCCCGGGGTTGGTAAAGCCTTCTCTCCAGCCAGCCGCGTGTGCACACACGCCCTCCGGAGTGCACCTCGGACCTGCAACTCGGCTTGGCCACGATGGTTGGGAGAGTTCAGCCTGATCGGAAACAGTTGCCGCTGGTCCTACTGAGATTGCTCTGCCTTCTTCCCACAGGACTGCCCGTTCGCAGCGTGGATTTTAACCGAGGCACCGACAACATCACCGTGAGACAGGGGGACACGGCCATCCTCAGGTAGGGGCTTTTCGGACAACTTTTCTGGTGTGTGCGTGTCTGTGTGTCTGTGGTCTGTGTGTGTGTGTGTGTGTAAGCTGAGATCCTTGAACTTCTGCTCCTTTGATATTGCTGCAGGGTGTGTGTGTGTGTGTGTGTGTGTGTGTGTGTGTGTGTGTGTGTGTGTGTTTGTGTTGCTTTTACTGAGTAGAACGCACAGCGTCCGACCAAATTGAAGGGAATTCTGGTCCTTTTCAATATCCTGGGATGCTAATGGAATGTTGTGTAGTTCTTTGCACACTGTTTTTCTTATCATGGATGCTGGACTTCACCCTTCCTCCCCCACTTCCCTTACCCCCCCTCCCCCCGCCACACACACACATTAGTAGCATTGGAGCAGTATTCTTGATTTTGTAATTGGTGATGCTTGACACTTCAGAGTTTTGTGGAGGCTTCTTAATCTAAGAAAAGAGTTGTTAAATGATGGCTCTCAAAGAGTGGTACACACTGATGTGTTCTTCCTGCCTCCGTGTGTGTGTATGTGTGTGTGTGTGTGTGTGTGTATATGTGTGTGTGTGTGTGTGATGTATGTACTAGGGCACTCTAGTACATCAAGGCTCTCAGTCAGCCCTAGTAATAGTTCTGATAGAGGACTGTCTGTAAAGATCTTCTAATTGACATCTAGGGCAATAAATCAATGTTAGAACTTTGGTTGGTGACTGAGCTTCTTCTGGACTGTGGATAGAAATCAACACAAGAATGAAGAGAGGAAGAGAAAAAGGATCTTTCTTGCCCACGAGCATTGAAGAATAGGACTATTAAGCACAGAGACTGGGAAAGAATTAACCTGACATAACATGGATATTTGAAATTGATTATTGACTTAAAAGTCGTATCTCTGTGTAGCTCTGCCAACCTCTGAAATATAATTTGGGGATAGAAATTTAGAAAAGGAGAGTCATAGTCCTTGGGAGTTTGACCCCTAGAAGGGACCCAAATGGCACCTAAGTATTATTTTATCTCTAAAAAGCTTCAAGCTTCTTTTCTTGTGTTTTCCTTCTCTCTTCCTCTTTTCTACCTTTGCCTTTTAGGATTTACTTGAAATTCTGCTAGTGATAAAAAAATAAATAAAAGAAAGAAAACACTGTCCCTAGAGATCTTTTAAAATCTCATTTCCTCCAAATAAAATAACCCAGTGTTGGGTCTGTCTATCTAGCTAATATTTCTGGTTATAGCAATAAAAAGAATAGTATGCAATAGAAAATAAACCTCTAATCTGTGTGGAAGGAGCTGATATTGCATAAACCCTGGGGCATCAGGGAGCTGTTCTGTAGCAGAGCTGCCGACAACAGCAAAGTTTTCTTTTCTGTTCTCAGAAATAAATTTGGTTGGCTGTCACAGAGTGTCCTGCTTTGGGATCTCTAGTCTTGTTAGGGAGGAGCATGTGTGTGTGGTGTCTTATGTGAATGTGGTGTGTGTGTGTGTGCTGAGTGTGTATTGCATGTATATATTTTTCCAGATAGTAAAAAGTAAGAGAATGTGAATGTCTAAGTAATTCTTTCTTCATTTCCTGAACACTGGGTGATTATGAATCCCAAAGACCCTACAATCCAAAGTAAATTTTCCCTTGTAGCTTTCCAATCTTGTAAACCTGTGTGGGTGATTTATCCACATGGAGCAATAAGATTTATAGAGTAATTTATCTGTTTGCAAGGGATTTAGATGTAATGCAGAAAATGTTTTTGCAAACACACAAGCATGCCACCTCATCTGCTAACATCCAGAACGCCTAAGATCATTAACCCTTTAATGAAGCAATCTATAGAAATTTATGTTATCCCTAGAAATACAATTTTCACCATAAGGCTGAATATGAAAGATGTGCACCGACTCTGTATCAGTTTCTATGTAAATGTTTATGAACTTTGTAAGATCTAAGTCAATATTGCCACTATCCTAATCTATAGGTATGAAAGAGTTAGATAAACTTATATGTTAATTCAGCACAATAATAGTATGCTTCTGCTTTCATGTATTCTGCGGGTATACTATACTTTCATGTAGCATACATGAAGACCTCTCTATGTAGGATATGTAGTCTGATTATATAAACGTCAATTTACAGTATACTTGTGTTTCTCTATGTTTGTGGCTTAAAAGAAATGGAGTAATTTTAATCCATTATACTTTATTATGGAAATGGGTTTATAAGCAAAAAGTCCAGTTCTTTCCTGGAAAAGAGACGATACACAAAGAAAGCATACAAATAGATCATCAACAGGAATCTATAGCCTCCCAGTCCTCACCTAACATGACCTCTTTTTAATTGTCTGCCTTGGACAAAACTTCATTTTTGAGTTGGTAGAGCTCTATCAGAAGTACTATGGTGAGAGTTGCTTTTGTTTCCTTAGCTGACCTTCTCTTAAATCTCTTTAACTGAATCCAGTAAGCTTTGTTGGTCAGTTTCCTGGTGAAGAATGGTCTTCTGACTTTCTGTTTGGAAGTCTAGCCTGGGAAAGGCATGCTTCCACTTTGTTTGTGACATTTTGCTGGGAGTGTGAGCTTCTAGGGGGAAGAGAGGAAGGAGAACTTGATTCATTGGAAGCCACAGTAGATGTTTGGCACTGAGAAAGTGAAATGGCAAGAAAAGAAAAAAAAAAGTCCTCTATTAGTCTGAAGCCCTGAATAATTTGAAATGGCAATAGGAGACAAGGGAGGCTTGTAATTCTGGTGGTCCAGTGACAGGAGTTTTGCCAACTTGTTCCCAAAACATTTACCTTCACTGCCTTACTTCCATGGAACAAGAGTGTCTTTAGACAATTGATGCTTATCTTTATCTAGTTATGAGTCTTGGTATACTAGTGGATCATGATAGGAGAGTACACATTAGTCTTGCCGACTTGCGCTGGAATCTCTATCTTTTTGGAAACAAAAAGAAAACTACAGATTTATAGTGGCAAAACTTGAGAGAAAGAGAAATGACCCACCTGAGGTATACATAGCTGACCATGTTGCTTTTTGGAAGCTCCAGAATCAAAGTGTGACACACAGATCACTAGCACCAGCAGCACCTAACAGTATTTATATTTGCATGTATAGAAAAGTGTGTGACACATTTATCCATAGACGTTCTTTCAGGATGCAACCTCAGATGGTTTTCTGAATAGAGTCTGCCTACCACAGTTCCACCCCAGTAAGAACAGGTTGTCCATCAACTACAGGGTGAGTTTCCAATATGACTTCTAGAAAGCTGCTAAACTTTCACACAGACACACCCAAAGGTACACTTCCTGCTGGATCTTCATGCATTGAAGCCATGTAGCTGTGATAAATCAAGATAAAATGAAAATACATAGTGTTCTAAACCAGAATTCAAAAATTTCTCTTTAATGGTACCATGGACCATATGTGTAATGTAAATAGTATGTGCAAGGAAAGATGAGTATGAAACACTTGATTCCATATAACTGTACAAGTTGTATGATGTATTATGTTATCATTTATCTGCTCATAAAGTTCCTTTGTGGATAGCATATGTACATGCATGTATGACCACACAGGCTAGATATAATAAAATGCAGAAGCTCCCCCAAATGTCACTCTAAATATTTTGAGTTGAACTTGTATTATTTCAAGATCCTAAACCTCCCTGGTGGTGGCAGGATATTATAATAGGTCATATGTTAATAACATTTTCCCATTTAAATGTAAAATATATGGAGTAAGTATCAAGAATTTCCAGAGACTAAGTATTTAAGTAAAGAATCTTTGATTCCAGATTCTAGATCTTCACTTCTCTGTTTCTACACCAAAGAGAAGAAGAAGAAGAAGAAAAAACCTATGACAGAGGATGTGATTACTTACTGATAATGTAAAGATTTTGTGCAAGTTTCAAGGAAAATGGTTTCTCTTACATGAGGCATCTGGAACGCCTACATTCAGGAAGAAAGCATCAACACTCAAACAAATTCCTTACACAACATGTGATTTTTCTCCTACTTATAATTCATTATTTGGAAACAAACTTTAGTGGTATATGGGGCGAGTTAGTAACAATTATGAGGCTTTCTTTCTTTGTAGCTATATCAACAGAGGTCTTCAAAATCTACTAATTACTACTAATACATTAAGGGTCATCCATTTCCAATGACATCGTTTATTATAGTATAACATACATATCATCTAGGAATATGACATTGTATATACACTTTGTCAAAGAATGCATGTGTTGTCATTTATGAACCAAGAAACATAGTCTACCAATCTGAGACAAATGAAAATTGTCCTTTGTGTTCATACATGTGTGTGTGTGTGTGTGTGTATGTGTGTGTGGTGCAGTAAGTATGGAATATATAAGTTCATATATACATATGTACATACAAATATGTACCATATATAGTGTACACACACACACACACACACACACACACACACACACACACACACACACACACACACACACATATATATGTACTGTGTGTTGCATATGTGCATATGTGTGTGTTTTCTGCTTTATATAATTGGACTTCAAATAAATAACTTGTAAAATGGAGAAGAGACTACCAAAAGGGATGATTCATCCCCTATGTCAGTTGGTGAAGGTTAAAATATGTGTTTCCTGAAGCTGATTCTTCATAACAGCAAACTCAGGCCAAAACAGATTAGTGCATTTTGCTGTGGTCTCTGAGAGTTCCAAGTACAAACAGCTGTGACTCACCTGATAGGAAGTGTGTGGATGCGTTGGTCCTCCTCCCTGTCATCACCTGAACTGTAAAGATACCTTTCCTTCAGGCCATTACTTATGGGTAATAGCCATTGGCCCTGTTCTTCGCAGAATGCCTAACATGTTAATTTGTGAAATTCAAAAGAGCTAAGTGCTAAAATTGGATCTATCCCTGTTCGCTATGACTTTGAGCAAATCCTCACATTATTTTGGGCTACAGTTTCATTTGCAAAATGCTGAAACTATTTTAGCTACTCTACAGTGTTATTTTAAGAAGCATGCTTGAGGTAAAGTTTGT